AAAAAAAAAAAATGTCCCAAGGGATAAGTGTTGGTGAAATATAATTTATTTCCACTATGAAAAAAAAGGGGGAAAGAATATTTGTGGAGAGCACATTGTTTGGTTATAATGCAATACTTAGTCAGCTTTTCTTCAATAGACTTTGTTTTAAAAGAGTTGATTTTTTTCCTTCTCCCTTTGGTTGAATTTAATCAAATGAAAATGACTTTGGAAATTTGTAAAGAGTTGAATTAGGAAAAATGAAAAAGATTGCTCAGCTAAAAAGTGAGGAATTAAAATGAGCAAAGTCCTCTTAAACCATCATATTCAATTTTCCTGTTCAACCATTTTATATTCAAATTTTCTGCACTTCATTTTTCTCTTATAGCTCAGTCTGAGTCCCGTGTATTTCGTAGCTACCCTGGCAGTCCCTGCCCTGCCACTTACCAGCTGCTTCCTTCTCTTTCGTGGAAAAAACCAACGGGTTGGTTCTTCGATAGAAACTATTTTCGCATCGATCTAGGTAACCTTGAAATTATTAGGCTCTCAAACGAGATGATCAATCTTGGTGCTATTCCCGTGCATTAGCTATCGCGGATCACCTAATCATTGAGGTTTTTGCACACGGAATAGGACTTTAGAGGTGACTTTTAGCGTCAGGCACCCGATCAGTCTTGGTGAAAAGGACTGACATGGCTTCGGTTGAGGCAATCGCCCTTAGTTTTCCGGTATAAGGGAATTTCTTGAGTTTGCTAGTTGGCTTTCTTCTCTTGATCCAATCTTTCCAAGGAACAGCTAGGGGCTCGTCGAAACGTCCGTAGTCTGCTTATTCAATTTCTATTCTAAGAAAGAGCTTATACCAAATCGAGGCAAACTCTGAATACTAGATATGACTTCAAAATAACAGGGGTCAAGAGTTAATTCACTGATTATTGACAAGGGCATTTCATAACTTCTTCTTCTTTTTTTGTTTATTTTTTTTCTCCTAATATAAATTAGTCAAAGTTAACACCAAATGACTACTGTTTTAAGTAAACTATTATAATCTGTACTCTGTAGATCTATCACATTTCATCAACTTCTCAGAAGTCCTTCAAGTTCAATGGTAAACTCTAAATTCACCAAATACCAGCTTTTCATCAAAGCATAAATTCTAGTTTAATAACCTTAAAATTCTAAGTGATCGGAGTTTCGAAGCCACCTCACACAAGAATTAGCGACATAACTAAGATGCAACTATGCAATAACATTAAACTCTGTTTAAAAGCAGCTTAAGTGTTACAAATGGCTGCAACAAATACCGAAGAATGCACAATTTCATAACATAAGCTCACAACAAAAGGGCTCATGAAATATTCATTCAAGATCACGGGTCACTAAAAATATATCAAAAAAAGTTAACTCACTTATCATATCAAAAACAACAGTAAGTTAAGTCACTTATCATATCAAAAACAACAGTCGCAATCAAATGGGCACAAATGAGTACCTCCGGCATCTGCTTTGCCGATACCCAACTCCTCTTCTGTGTAAATAGTTAGCCCATCTGCAGTCTTTTTCCTCGACCGAGAAGTGGGCCTAACAGGCTCGTTCTCTTTCGGAGATTTTTTCTTCTCATTCTTTTCTCTCCTTAGCCCATCATGTGATTTAGCATCTACTTTTCCTCGTTTTTTGTTGTGGACCATTTTGCCCTCTTCGGCTCTCTTTCTCTTTTTCGCTGCTGCAAAAATATCGTCAATCTCAGAACCCATCTTCTTGGGCTTCACAGAGGGCTTTTCCGGTTCGGAGGTGGGTCCCTCGGGTGAATGCTTAGCCGGCTTCTTGGTTGAACTCTGTCTTGGCATCTTTTTATATCAGATATCACGTAACTGCACAAAATTTTAATAGGGAGATCAGTTCAAGTTTTCCACTTAAAGATATTTCTGTTTCGTTTTTTCTCACATATTCGCTCATAATAGATATTACAAATACTAATTCTCATAACAAAAACGAAAAAAAAAGCATGAACCAACATATTAGGAAAGAATAAAAATAAATATACGAAAAATATAGATCATATTTGTGCAAGTAATAAAACTACCTCATGAAATTTTGGCACATCGAAAATGCTATCGACCATAATTGGACTTTGACTTAATTAAATCATTAACAGGATTATGTCCAATTACCTATTGGACTATAGGTTATGCTAAAGCCCATATAATTAGGTTTAGCCTAATTATAAATAGGTGGTTATTTCTTCATCAGATCTAATAGATGATTAGATCAGATAACAGAGATACGCCGTAAGAACACAAAAACTCTCTCTTGCTTTCTGACTGAGGATTCCTAGCTTCTTCACCGGAAAGGATTCACTGCGTTGGATCGTGCACCGGGATCTAAGTTGCGTGGATACCATAGTTGAAGGCAAAGCTTAAACTGTAAATTCTCGTCGATCTAAGATCAAATCGAAAAGCTATAGCCGGATCTTCATTGTTGGTAAGAAAATTTTTAAAATTCCGCTGCGTGTGCGATTGTTTCGTACATCAAAATCCAACAGTGGTATCAACTATTATTACTATCATTTTGCTCTCATCGAAAATTCATGCATCTTCTAACAAGTTTGCAGAACGACTTTAACATCTATCACCATAAAAGCTAGCTGTTCCACTTTTACTTTACAGTTTGATATCAAATCTTCAAAGTCAAGTTATCTTGTTTCAATCACATCCTAGCACCGTCTTGAGTTAAACTTTTAACGTAGTATGATGGTATTCCCTAAGTTTCCATTTGAATAGGAGAATTCGAAGGAAATGATTATAAATCTACAACAACAAATCCCTCAATTTAGCTAGGATACAATAGTTTAAAATCATATTACACTCCTATTTTGGACTAATCGAGCCATTTTATGGGATTCCACATCTTGTATCGAGCTAAGATCACTCCCCTAAATCCTTTCTTCAAACCCATATTTTCTTAAACGCATGGGTTCTACACAAAGAAAATGCACACTAAGCTTACATATAAATAAGATCTAATACAATGAAGCAATAAGCTCTGCAAGAATACAAGAAACGGCATAACCAACAAATACGAAAATTATTCCAGCCAACCAAAACTTAATTAGAAAATGAGTTAAAAAAAAAAACGAAACGATGACTAGATCAAAGTGGCTCAATTAAATTCTAGTGCTTCTTCTATTAGTGAAGTTTCTAGAAAAAAATATATCAAACGACGCAATGCACCTTGGGTCGCTACGGAAACAACCTCCTTGTATAATTACAAGGGTAAGGTCTGCGTACAACTGACCCCCGACCCCAACCAGTTGGGAATATACTGGGTATATTGTTGTTGTTGTTGATGATTGAACTCTCGAAAGATCCCGTAGCAAATTTCAAGTTAATCAAAACAGTGAAGATGAAATTTACCCAGCTAAATCCTGAACATAATAATAAGGCGATGCGATTTCCGGCAATTTCCAGCTCCTAGATCTAGGGTTTGGAGGAGAGAAAAATTGGATGATTTTTCTGAAAAAAATTTAGTTAATGTCAAGAAAATAGGAGATAGAGAGATGGCATCTTGTCAAAGAATTGGTCCAAATCCTATGTTCGGCAGAGGGTTTTAGTTTTGCTTTGCTTTGATTTTAATTTGTCTTGCATAACATTCTTGGTTTAGTTTTAAATTCAATTATCTCCACAAGAGCTACAAAGCAACACGGAAACAGAGGCTTGCCGTTGAAAGAAAAAATACAGTAATCCCAATACGTGAATAAACAGTCTGTACCACCCATCAGCTTCCATTTCAATTGTATTTCAATTATATCAAGGTTTACTTTTTTATGAACAAATAATAATAAAAAAAAAAAAAGAAGGCAAACAACCTGAGAATTGATATGGAGACTTAAGAGATTGCTGCTTTTCTGTTGGTGGGCGAAGGCGGTGCTGGGATTCAGAGGTTGCTGCTATGCGGTGGTCGCCGAAGGCAGTGGTGGGCGGCGACCGGCGGGCTGAGAAGATGTTCACAGACAGCGTTTTTGTAAATTTTATTTTGTAAATGTTAAAAAAAAAAAAAAA